GCGCCCGGCCTGGTTCACTTCTCTTTAAGGAGCTGTTCTGTCCCTGGTAGACGGATCCCACTCATCCTTTCTGCCTTTGTCCTTTCTGGTGTTATCCAGCAGGTGTCTTGTGTGTGGCAGGCGCTGTGCTAGGCTCTGGGGACAGAGCCGTGGCGAGGACAGAGAACAGTCTTGCCCTGGGGAGCTCACGGCCTCGTGTGCGCGCGTGCGTGTGTATGCTTGCGTGTGTGTGTGTGCACGGGTGTGCACATGTGTGCATGTGTAACAAACAAAAACCAAATCGTACGTTTTCTGGAGTTTCGAAGGGCGTGGGCATGTGAGGAGAACTTCGGCTTTCACCCTGAGTGAGGTGGGCGTCCCGGAAGGGTTCCGAGCAGAGGCGGACGTGGCCGACGTGGGTTTTGCAAGGTCGCTCTGGCTGCCTGTGCAGAACCGTCTGGGGTGAGGATTGGGGCGGAGGAAGCAGAGAGGCCAGCGGGAGGTGGCGCGATAGTCCAGGGCAAGGACAGTGTGGCCGGGACCCGGGGGTGGCTGTGGAGGGGTGAGAAGTGGTTGGATTTGGGAGACCCTGAGTCACAGGAAGGTCTTTTGGCCATTTTTCCTTCCTGGCCTCTGCTTTTTTGTTCTAACTCAGAGGCTGACAAACTTTCTCTGTAAAGGGCCAGACAGCAAATATCTTTAGGGCCTTTGTAGCATAAAGGTAGCTACAGGTGGTCGTGGCCATGTGCCAATAAAACTTTATTTAGAAAGGCAGGCAGTGGGCCATCGTTCTTCGACCCCTGGTCTGACTGCTGGGCTTGCTGTCCCCTCGGCAGAGTGAGCTGGGTGCTGGCGAGCTGAGAGGCTGCTGGGCCCGTCCCCTGCCTCGTGGCCAGTAGGCCTGGTTCTAGGAATGACTCAGCCGACTCCCAGTAGTCATGCTCCTCTTGGGCCTCAGTTTCCCCCATTTTCCACTGAAGGCTTGCTGTCCCCTCCCTCTCTGAGCTCAGGATGCCCATGGCTCTGTGGGAGTAGGACTCACTCCCCGGCTTCCCGTTTCCCTGGCTTGAGCTGGGCAGGTCAGGCCTGATGTCGGTGGCCTTGGGCATCTTCACCCATCTACCGGGTTTCACCAAAGTCCCTCGTTCCCAGAAGCTACTCTCTTCCCCTCAGGGCCTCTGACAGCTCCAGCCCTCCCGCCAGTCAGCTGGGCAGAGCCTCACTGTGGGCGAGGATAATTAGGGGTCCTCCCCGGCTGCTATTCCCGGAAGGCTGCTGGCTGAAGACGTTCTTCGGGGAGGGGTGTGGGGGGTGACTCCCAGGCAATCCTTATGCCCTCAGGGCCCCTCAGAGAGAGAAATTGCAGGCCGTAGCCCTGCTGCCCGTTCCCTGCCACGAACTCAGAAATCGGCTAAAATAGGAAAGGGCCTAATCCTGGGCTTTGTGGCTGCAGCAAAACACAGGGTAGGATGCAGGGCGCAGGGTGGGGCGAGGCCTCTGCGCCACCTTTCCTGGCGCCTCCCTTGGTGCCTCCTGCGTCTGAACTGAGCCTACAGGGCCCTACGGTGTCTCCAGGGAGGGACCCTGAGGCTGGGGATCCAGCTCACTCACTTTAGGCACTTCTGGGGAAACTGAGGCTCCTCATTTGCGCCTCGCAGCCACCCTGGCAGGTCAGTGCTGCTATACTTGTAGATGAGGACACTGGGGCTCGGAGAGGCTAAAGGGCGTGAAGTCAGAAAGGGGCTGAGCAGGGATTTGACCCGAGATCTGTGCGTCTCCTGCAAAGCCTGACCAGCAGCCTCGACTGCGAGATGTCGAAGTTGGTCCCTCACTTGGCTGAGCTCGCGGCCTTGAGGGATTCCACGCTGTTTCCCCCAGACATTTCGGCTGAGACACAACGTTGCGATTCTTCCTCCCGCTCCTGGGATCTTCTAACTTATTTATAGCAGAGGCGAAGCCAGCCGGCCCCCTGGGGCCTGGCTCCCCAGCTCTGGGGAAGGCAGCAATTTGTGTCTTTTTTCGCCAAAGTAATAACAGGGGTGGCCTGAGGAGGATGCTTAGTAACAGGTAGAGAGTCCCCATGAACTGTCCTGGGAAACCGAGGACAAAGAAAGAACTGCCTCCTGCTGCTTTCCGTTGAGTCACCAAATTGAGAAAAAGCCCCTGTCTCCAGGAATGACGGGGATGCCTCACAGCTAAGGCAGCTGGCTTTCCCTGTTCTAGGGCCCTGCTGACCTGACAGCTAACTGTCTTTACCTCCCCCAGCCTCGGTTTCCCCCTTGTGCACTGGTTATATTCGTCCCTGCCTCATCTGCCAGGCCTGACTGGGCACTGTGGGGAAAGAAGGAGTCTGCTGCCTGCTGGCTCTGTGATCTCGGGCAGTTTGTTTAGCTTCTCTGGGCCTCAGTCTCCCCATTTATAAAAGGGGTACAGCAAATCCCTCCTGTTCAAGGAGTAAATGAACTTAAGCGTGCACCCCCATCCCCAGTGTGCTTGGCACTAGCAGGTGTTTCGTTAGAATGTAAGCCGCAGGGGACAGGTCACATAATGGTTGTCACTGGTTATTTTTATTCATTTTCCAAGCTTATCCTAGAAAGGGGTCAGCACACTTTTTCTATAAAGGGCAAGATAGTAGAAATTTAGGTTTTGTGGGCCAGTTACGCTTTGTGGGACAGTTATTCAACTCTGTCACTGTGGCTTGAAAGCAGATGCAGACAATGCCTAAACAGATGGCTGTGGCAATAAAACTTTATTTGTAAGAACAGGTAGTGGGCCAGATTTGGCCTGTGGGGCCTTTGTTTGCCAGTCCCTGGTCTAAAGCATCTCTTTGTGGTTTGTTTCCAATGACTGGTGAGGCTGGGCTCCTTTCCACACACTGCTGCCCAGTTCTTTGCCTGTTCACACCCTTTGCCTATTTGTCTGTGAGTTTCCCAGCTTTTACTGGTTGACTTGTTAAGAGATTTTTGATATTCTAGATATTTACTCTCTGTTGGTTTTAGACTCTATAGTTATCTTCGAATCTGCCATCTGCCCATGCAGTTGTTACTGATGGGTCTTCTTAGTCTTGGTACCATATGAGGGGGTCTTGTACATGGACTCCTTTTCTACTCTAGGATGAAGATACTTTCCTACATTTTGTTTGGTTAGCTTTAGTTTCACTGTTCATATTTAGGTTTTTAATCCATCAGGAGTTTATTGTTGCATATGGTGTGAGGTAGGGACCCGATTTTTTTCTTTCCCCCTGTTGAGTGAGTTAAGTTTCCCTGCACGGTCTGCGGAATACTCCGTGTGGTCACGTATCATCCATCACGTACTGAGCTCCCGTGAACGCACAGTCCTCTGACGTGAGTTCTCTTCTTTGCGCTGCTTATTTATCCGTTTCTGCCCCAGTTCCACACTGTTTGTGTTACTGTGGCTTTGTCCCATAGCTTTATAGCAGGTGGGACAAGTTCAGATTTTTCAGGAGGAGTCGGAAAGCCAGATCTTTATGTGAAATGTCCTAATATGTTAGTGTTGGCACATGATCCCATTTTAATAGAAAACAGCGTTGGCCAAACCAAACTTGTCCAGGGGCTGATCCAGCCGTGGCTGCCAGTTGGCGGACGCTGCCGGCACTCTCCCGCGTGAGTCTGACCACGTGCTTGTGCGTCTGTGGGTCTGCAGTGCTGGAGAAGAGCGAGTTCAAGGACGAGTCCCAGTACTTCCGCTTCCATGCCGACGAGGAGATGGAGGGAACCAGCGGCAAGAACAAACAGCTTCGCAACGACTTCAAGCTGGTGGAGAACATTCTGGCCAAGCGCCTGCTGGTAGGAGCAGAGCTGAGCAGCTGCACCGTCCTCCCACCTGTGGGCCTGGGAGCTGGGAAACCCTCCAACTGTGGCCAGAGAAGGGGCTCAACTTTGAGTACCAAACAGTATGGGGGATTCTAGACTGCCCTCTTCACAAAGGAGACTGGGCATGTGGGCGCCCTTCCTTCCCCCTTCTGTCTCCTCTGCCCAGCCTGGCATTGTGCATCCTGCATGCCCCGTAGCCTTAGGTCTTGTAGACTGGCATCCTGTCCCGTCACTGTAAATAACCTTGCGGTTAAGGGGGAGCAGTTATCAGCCCGTTCACATGTTTACCAGCCTGGCCCCCAAATCCTGCTTCTCTGCCTACTGGCGAGCTGCAGCCCCATCTGCGTGCACGGCCCACAGTAGGCAGTCGAGGCACAGGCTCAGAGTGTGGGTCTCTTGCCACCGCCAAGGTTGGCGCCGAAGTCTGATCTGAAGACAGCTCCGTTGCCTTCTCCCCCTAGCACTTGGGCTGCTCTTCCCCCCTTTTCCATTTTTCTCACTATAAAGCCCTCCATTGCTCCCCATCACACTCGGGATAAAGTTCAAACTCTCGTTTTGGCCTCTCGTTGAGACTCTTCTTGCCTCTCCAGCTTTACGTCTCCTGTGCTCCCCACTTCCTCACTCCACCCCAGCCACCTGGGGACCTCTGTCCTTGTCCTCCAGTGCCTTGGGACTTACCTCAGGGCTTTTGCACAGGCCGTGCTCGCTGCCTGGAGCACTTTCCCCTACTCCTTGTGAAGTTCCGTTTCTCACTTAGTTCAGGCTTGGCTCAGATACCACCTCCTGCGGCCCCCTTGCCATGCCATGCCCTGTCCCCCTAAGCGCTTTATTTTAATTCAGATGCCCACACTCCCTGCCTCACGTTCTGTGTTTTTTTGCTCATTTGTTCATAGTCTCTCTCCCCCGCTAAGCAGCCAGCTACACGAGGGCAGGGACTGACTGCCTGTCGTGCTCGATACTGTGCCTCCAGGGCCCAGTAGCCTCCCTGGCCCATAGAATAGGCAGCAGCTCGGTAAATATTTGTGGACTGAATTAATGCATTTCCTGAACCCCCAGCGGCCCTGAACCCCCAAACCTTCTTCCAACATGCCTGCCATCCTGCCCTCGTGAGGGGCTGCTCCCCCCAAACTCTCTTCCTATTTCCAAGTTCTTGGTGGCCAGACACCTTTGGTCTGTTTTACTCACTAAGTGACGAGTACACATTGAGCACCTACTGTGTGCCAGGTGCTGTTCCTATTTTACTCCATCTTGCCGGCCTGGGTCTGGCCATCTCCCTGCGGTCCCGCCATCCGTGCCGCCTCCCCTGCTAGACTGGGACACAAGGAGCCAGCAGCATCCTGGTCCCGTGGGGGCCAAGGTGGGGCTGGCTCCAGGTCCGCCGCGCTGCCTTACCGGGTCTCTTCTGCCTTGGGCCCTCAGATCCTGCCCCAGGAGGAAGACTACGGCTTCGACATCGAGGAGAAGAACAAGGCTGTGGTGGTGAAGTCGGTCCAGAGGGGCTCGCTGGCTGAGGTGAGGCCTCCGAGGGCAGCCTCCCCGGCCGGCGCTGTGTGCAGGCGGGAGAGTGGGGCGTCTCTCTCGCGTTCCTTGAGGCAGGCTGGCCCGGCAGATCCTGGAGTGACGGCTGGTTCCTGTCTCTCATTGCCCATGTGGAGAAACTGAGTCAGGACCCCCTTGTCTGCAGTGGCCGGGGAAGCGGGAATGGGGTGGTGACACGCAGGGCTGTCCTCCTAGTGTGTTCCACCAGCGCCCCATCCCGGGCCCTGGGGGGAGGTGCCGGAAGGAAGCAGGTCTCTCCGTCAGTTCGTTTTGGGGACCAGCTGGGAGGGGGAGAATCCCAGTCACAGTGGTTTGAGTGAGACGAGTTCATTGCCGTCTCACGGAGGAGGACGGGAGGAGAGGGAGTCTGTGGCAGGCCCAGTCTTTTCAGCTGCTGCTGGGGGTGTGGAGGTGGGTGGAGGAGATGCACCCCCACGTTGTGCAGGCGCCCGGCTTGCCCCTGTGGCGGAGAGGGACGCTCTGGGCTGCAAGTAGCCACTTGGTCCCCTCACGTGGCTGGAGCCATAGGGCTTAGTTTTCCCAGTGACCCGAGTGGCTGGGAGGAGGAGGTGGTTGCGAGTCTTGGTTCGGGTCGGAGCGTCTTCAACTTTCTTGGCCAAGTCCTCATAGTGACAAGGTGGTTGCCCCCGTGTGACACCTTGTGTCCTCACGTGACAGCGCATCAGGCCACAGCGGAGTTTCTCCTCAAGGAAAAACGTCTTACCCGTCAGCCCTGCAGCGGGTCCCTCATGGCCCTAACCACTCACCACGGGGGGAGCCGGTCGCTCTGGTGGGCTCACCCCAGCTCGGTCCCTGGGGCCAGTGTCACGCCGCGGGAACGCACCGAGGAGGGAGGGGAGTCAGTGACCGGGGTGCCCGTCTCCCCCTGCCCAGATGGCCGGCCTGCAGGTGGGGAGGAAGATCTACTCCATCAACGAGGACCTGGTGTTCCTGCGGCCCTTCTCGGAGGTGGAGACCATCCTCAACCAGTCCTTCTGCTCCCGCCGCCCGCTGCGCCTCCTGGTGGCCACCAAGGCCAAAGAGTGAGCGTCCCCAGGGGCAGGGTGTCCCGCAGGATCCCTCTTGTGCTGAATGGTTGCTGGGTGGTGGGGTTGGTGTGAACCGTCCTGGTCCCTGCGGGTGGGGCCCATCGCTGGAGGCACGTGACAAAGCTGGGCCTCCGTTCATCCAGCAGATGCTTATTGAGGGCCCACCCTGTGCTGGGTGGCGTTTCAGGCTGCGGGGATCCAGCTGGGTGTGGGGGGCCAGTTCCCACCCTTCCAGGTCTCAGGCCTAGTTGGGGGAGGGAGCAGGAGGCAGACACTGCTCAGACGGAGAAGTAAGACACGCTGGACAGTGGTGGTGACCTGGTGTTGGTGAACGTGTATGAAGCTGGGGAAGGGGCCGGGGCGTGCAGCGCGCTGGTGGTCAGGGAGACGTCGCTGCAAATTGGTGAAGACCTGCAGGAGGTGAGGGGGAGTCGAGGGGACTTCTGGAGGAAGAAGTTTCCAGGCAGCGGAAACAGCCAATGCAAAGGCCCGGAGGTGGGGAGTGTCTGGAGTGTCTGAGGAGGCTGAAGGGGCTGGGGCAGCACTGGAGAGGACAGGGTGGCGATGAGGTTGGCTGGGCAGTGGCTTAGGCCCTGGGGGACCTTGTGCCCCTGGCGAGGACCCGTGGGGCCCACTGGGAGGGTCTGGCAGAAGCCCTCTGGCCGTAAGTGGAGACCCGACCGTTGCGGGCAGTGGTGGAGGCAGGGCGAGGCGAGGGGCCGGTGCCTTGGCCCAGCGTGGCGAGAAGAGGGTCGATACTAGATACAGGTCCAGGGAAGCAGTTTCTATTTTAAAAATTACATGTTTGGTTTTTCACTGCTCCCTTTTGTTTTAGGCAAACATTCTATTGACAGGAGTGATGGAAAGTTTTAAATACGATTATTTCAGTAAAAAGGCAAACTGATATAGGGCAAATATGATCGATAGTTCGGTTGGTATAAGGAAGTGGCAGAAACCACCAAGGGGGAACATCTCTGCTTAAAGTTCTGGAAACGCCTGCGGTTTGAGACCAGGCTCCCGGGATGGCTTTTAGCTGGCAGGTGGGGACGGGAGAGACGATGGCGCCACACAGTGCGGGGATGTGCCCCGGACAGGGAGGCAGACAGCGTTGGAAGCCCCAGGACTAGTGACACCTACTGTGCCACCCGGCGGTTGCCGCCCGTCTGCTTTGGCGTCTACCCACAGAATGGCCGACACCTGGGCTTTCACACTGCGTCCTCTAGAGCAGCGGTCCCCAACCTCTTTGGCGCCAGGGACCGTTTTCATGGAAGACAATTTTTCCATGAACTGGGGAGGGATGGGGGATGATTTTGGGATGATTCAAGTCCATTGCATTTATTGTGCACTTTATTTCTATTATTGTTACATTGTAAAATATAATGAAATAATCACACAAGTCACCATAGGTTGGGGACTCCTGCCTAGGGGACCTGTGTGGGTGTTTTTCTAGGGTCGGCACCGTTCTCACCCTCCCATCTGTGATTGTTGAATAAAATACTGACTGGCTGAAGTGCTGATCTGGCCACCAAGAGCCCTTAGGACAGGAGGACGATGGAGCGGGTGTGGGAGGCTGGTCTAGAATTTCTGTGCATGGACTGAGGCTCCAGAGGCGACCTGCTGGTTCTGAATAAGCAAAGATCCTGGGGCGGTGGGCTCTGCTTCACTGACATTTCTCTCTATATTTGCGAGCTGGAAAACCTGGTGCTGCTACCATTTGGGGCCAGATTTCCCAAAAGTCTCGGGGATGGGGCTCCCCGTGTCGGCCCCTGGGTTAGTGGGAGCAAAGCTGCTTTTCCTTACGGTCTTTCCCTGCTACTTCTGCCTGGTGCAGGGTCATCAAAGTCCCCGACCAGCCCGACTCACTGTGCTTCCAGATCCGCGGAGCTGCCCCGCCATACGTCTATGCTGTTGGGAGAGGTGAGCGGGAGCCTGGCAGACGGGAGCTTTGGGAGATGGGTCTGTCTGTGTGGTGGGAGTTCGAAGCTGTTATTATTAATCCTACCAGGCCTCTGCCTGATAGTGCACTGTCAGCACTTATTTTCCTTGCTTGACGCCAAGACTTGCAAACACAAATGGTGTTGGGGTGAGGCAGGTGACAAATGGGCATAGTGACCTTAGTGGAAGACAGCAGGGAGTGGTGAGGACTATGGCAAAGTGAAAAAAAATACATGTTCACACTCTACAAGCAGCAGTTGCTCTTCATCTCAAGTTCATTATTGCCACATAGTGATGTGGGTCCACTCTTGCCAGACTTGATTTTCTAAGAGAAGCCAGAAATGTGAATTTCGGGGCCCTACCAAAACACTTTTGTGTCTAGATCTAGCCCAAGGGCTGCCGGTTGGAGACCTCTGCTTTCTGCCTTGCCCTTTCCTTGCATGGTATTTAAGGTGTCACTCTGTCTCGAAGATGAAACCAAGTAAGTAGGTCTGCAATGCTGGGTCCCTGAACATTCTTGCTACTAAATGTCCCCCTTTTAAAGTTTAGACATTAATTGTCCTCTTTTGTGGTCATAGGTGTACATTTAATACCTATTAAGAAAACGTATGTCATGACGGAAGGCTACTGAGATTTGATAATATGTTAAAGAGCGTTTTTCTTTTACGTATTCTTAAAGCAGTAGCTCTCCACTGGGGACAGTTTTGCCACCAGTCTCCCAGGACATCTGGCACTGTCTGGGGACATTTTTGGTTGTCACAACTTGGGAGGGTGTGCTACTGGCATCTGGCGGGTAGACCAGAGATGCCGCTAAACCTCCTGCAATGCACAGGACTGCCTGGAGGATAAGATCGGTCTGGCCCCAAATGTTAGGAGTGCCTTGGCGAGAAACCCTGCCTGGGAGTGTCTAAGGAGATGTTCATGCCAGGGAGTAACGGTATTCATAGGTGAACCAGGCAAAAATAATAGAACAACTGTTACTTCTTGAGCATGTCCTACGTGCCAGGCGTGGGCGCTAGATGCTTTACGTGTGTTAACTCACTGGATTGCTCAGGAACCCTTGGAATAGGTATTATTAGTGTCCCCATTTGACAGATGAGGAAACTGAGGCTTGGAGAGGTTAAGGAACTTGCTGGAGGTTAAGGAACTCTGTGGCAGAGCTTGGGTTTGAAGCCACGTCCCTGGGCTCCAGGGTCTGTACTTGTCACCGTCACACCATTCAGGCCTGATAATTGTCCCACATAGAGGCAAAGCTTGGCATTTGTTTGCATTTCCAGACTTTTTGCATTAACCACACAAACCCCTGGGGTCTAGGACCTACAGTTTGGCGGCTGTGGAACAGATGGGCAAATGTGCACCTGGAGTCTGGTAGACCTGGTCTGAGTCCTGGCTTCTCCTAGCTGTGTGACCTTGAGAGAGTCGCTTTGCCTCTCTGTGTCCCTGTTTCGCCCTCCGCCAGTGGGGCTGATCTGGTCCAGGATCACAAGGCTGTGGCAGGACTTTAAAGGAGAAGAAGCTCTAGAGGGAAGCGTCCCTGGGTGAGACCCAGCTTTCCTTGCCGCATGACCCTGGACTGGCTGCTACTTCTTTGAGCCTCGGTTTCTTCTGCAGAATGTCAGTCCCTGTTCTGCCCGCTGGAGCGGCTTGCGTTCGGGGGTGGGGAGGTTGGGGTAGTGGGGGTGGGGACAGTGTTCAGCTGGCTGCCTGCCCTTGCCGGCTGCTGCCCTGTGCCCTCTGGGCCTGGCCTCCAGCACTGCTGTCCCCCTTAGGCTCGGAGGCCGTGGCCGCAGGGCTCTGCGCTGGTCAGTGCATCCTGAAGGTCAACGGCAGCAACGTGATGAACGACGGGGCCCCCGAGGTCCTGGAGCACTTCCAGGCGTTCCGAAGTCGACGAGAAGAGGCCCTGGTGAGCCGAGCAGCTGGGGGATCAGGGAAGCCCTGCCGGGTGGCGGGGGGGCCGAGGGCAGCCCTCTCTTCTCCGGGGAAAAGCCTGCAGGTCCCCTGGGTTGTGGGTGGAGTGGGGCTGCCCACCCGGCAAGGCTGAGCTGGGCCTGGGCTCCGTGCTCCTGCTGGGCTGCCTGCCCCAACTGGAGGAGCTGGGCTGTGATACCTTATGGCCTTGGTTTTCACAGCTGTGAAATGGGTGTGGCGAGACCCTCTCTTCTTACCACGTAGGTGTGTTGGGCAAGTCGTCCAGGGCCAGGGTCCTGGTGGAGGGTGATATTCACTCATCGATTCATTCATTGTTCACTCAGTGAGTGTTTATTGGCACCTTTGTGCCAGTTGCTTTTGTGGGCCCTGGAGACACAGGAGAGACAAGGTGTCTGTCTGCTCCCATGGCTCTGACGTTTTCAAAGTCACCCCCTTCCTTCATACACCTCTCTCGGAGTGTGGACTGTACATGGTGAGGGCTGAGGATGACTGGAGACCAGGAATTTTCCAGAGCCTTGGAATCCAGGAGCAGTTTGCACCCCATCCCTTCCCCCCAGCTGCTGGTGCCAGGGCCGCCCCTCTCACTCTGGCTCCCCCCAGGGCCTGTACCAGTGGATCTACCACACCCACGAGGACGCCCAGGAGGCGCGAGCCAGCCAGGAGGCCCCTGGCGAGGACCCCAGTGGCCAAGGGGACCAGGAGGAAGACCAGCCCGATGCAGGTAACGGGCAAGGGAGCGTGTGGCAGGAGCTTCTGAGGGACAGACGCTCCAGAGGGGCTGGGTCCTGTCCTGAGCCCACTCACCTCCCCCCATCCCACCAGGCCATCTGGATGCCAGCAGTTCTCTAGTAGTTTTTGATGGCTGCTGTGACAAAGCACCACATACCTAGTGGCTGAAAACAACACACAGCTATTATTTTACATTTCTGGAGGTCAAAAGTCTGAAACGAGTCTCACTGGGTCAAAATCAAGGTGTCTGCAGGGCCGCGTTTCTTTCTGGGGCTCTAGGGGAAAATCCGTTTCCTTTCCTGTTCCAGATTCTAGGTGCTGCCACATTCCTTGGCTCGTGGCTCCTTCGCTGACTGAGGGCCTCAGTGCTGTTGGCCTGAGACCTTCTCACACTGCCGTCTCTCTAATTCTGCCTCTCGGGCTTTTTTCCCCATTTAAGGAATCTTGTGATTACATTGGGCCCACCTAGAAAATCCAGGTTAATCTCCCTCTCTTAAAGTCAGCTGATTCACACACTTAATGCCATATGCAGCCTTAATTTTCCCTCGCCATGTGTTGTAGTCCGTTTGCGCTGTTATAACAGAATACCACAGATTGGGTAATTGATAAAGAACAGAAATTTATTTCTTCACAGTTCCAGAGGCTGGGAAGTCCAAGATCCAAGCACCAGTGTTTGGTGAGGGCCCTCCTGCTGTGTCCTCCAGTGGGGAGGGATGCCCTGTCCCCTCCCATGGTGAAAGGAAGGGCCAGCGAGGGTCAGTTTCCTCTGTTAAGCCTTTTATGATGGCATTACTCTACTCACGAGGTAGAGCCCTCATGGCCTAAACACCTCTGTTGCGTTGGGATTAAGTTTCCAGCACATAAACTTCAAGCTTCAGGTCTGGCTCGATCCAGTGACTTGTGTAGCATTGTGAGAAATCTTTCTCGCTCTCCAGTTCTCGGCCCTCCGTGTGGGCTTCCCTCTTACGTGGGGTTTTCTCCACACAGTGGCTCTAGCAGCTTGGAATCCAGTTGAAAAAGAGAATGTCTCCTTCTCTTTGTAGATCCAGCAGAAGTCCCAGACCTGACTCTCATTGGCCCACCTTGGGTCACATGCTTGATCCTGAACCAATCACTGTGATGAGGGGGGATGGAATATGCTGATTGGCCAGGCCTGTGTCTCCTGCCCACCTGTGGAACCAGGCCTGCAGGTGGGGCTCAGCCTCTTCAGAGCCGCACAGACTGAGAATGGGGCACAAGGGTCGATTCCTAGAAGGAAAATCTTCTAGGATAAGGGTGAACAGTAGGGAGCTGGCAGAAACAGAGCCGCGGGACAGGCTTTGGTTTCCCCATATGTCAAGCGTGAGCAGTCAGCGGTGCTAGTGGCAGGGCCTGGCTGGCTTTTGAGTGGTGCCCCCTCCTCAGTGTCATCTGCCCTTTTGGCTTCCAGCCTTCCCTCTGCTGTCCCTGGGTCCCCAGCTGAGCCTGCACGAGGACAGCCCTGTGGTCAGCCTGACCGTGGACAACGTGTACCTGGAGCACGGCGTGGTGTACGAGTATGTGAGCACAGCAGGCGTCAAGTGCCATGTGCTGGAGAAGATTGTGGAGCCCCGTGGCTGCTTCGGCCTCACTGCCAAGGTCTCGCTGGGCACCGCCCTGTCCTGCCCTGCCCTGGGGGGTGCGGACAGTTTCTCTGACCAGGGGTAGGGCAAAGGACTGGGCTGGGGAAGCCTGATACCCATTTCCTCAGAACAACCTGGAGCCCTGGATTCTAGTCCTTGTCCCCACCAGTAGCTGTGGGACTGAGGAGAGTGACTTGTTGTTCCTTTAGCCTCAGTTTGTTCACCTGCAAAATGGGCTGGTAATAGACTCGACCTCCCAGGAGTATTGCCAGGCATACAGGAGTCACTACAGGAAAATTGCTTAAGACCCTCCCTGGCGCATAGGAAGGGCTCAGGAGCTGTTAATGTTTCTGCAGATCCTCGAGGCCTTTGCTGCCGACGACAGTGTCTTCGTGCAGAACTGCGGGAGGCTCATGGCCCTGAGCAGTGCCATGGTGACCATGCTTCACTTCGAGTTCCGCAGCACCTGCGACACCAAGCTGGAGCGCATCGGCCAGAGGATCACCTGCTACCGGGAGGTACTGCTCCCTGTAGGGTCTCTGCCACGGGCTCCCAGACGTAGGGTCTCAGCCTGGGATATTTGGTTATAAATGTCAAACCCCAACCCAGCGTAGCTTACACAAACAGAATTTATTGGTTTATATTACTGAAAAGTACGGAGGTGAACTTCAGGCCTGGCTGTATCCAGGCACTTAAACAGGTACCGCAATATCACAGGAAGGTGGCCTCTCTCCATCTCCTGACTTTGTTTTCCTTTATGTTGGCTTCACTCTCAGGCAGGCCCTTCTCATGTGGTGACAGGATGGCCCTCAGCAGCTCTAGCCTTAGCAATCCTAGTAAAAAATTAACTTGGAGGGGGCTCTTACTGGCTTGGCTTGGGCCACTTGCCTAGTCTGGTCCCAATCACTGTGGGACTTCATGATCTGAGGGGCAGGAGAGACAGTGTCTTAAGGGCAGCTGAGGCATAGCCGAAATGAAGAAATGAATGAGGTGAGTTCTCAGAGGGCTCAGATTCCTCCAGGCCATCCCTGAAATCTGGGCCCAGTGAAAGACGGCTCAGGGAAATGTACTTCTCCACTTGGATCTATTGGCATTTTGTCCAGTTTTGGAACATCTGGCCTAGGCCAGGGTAAAGTGGGTTCTGGGGTGGGCCAGAATTTCCAGACCTTGACCCCTGACTCATGACCCCTGTCCTCCACCTTTCCCAGTTTGCAGCCCAGCTGAAGAGCAGGGTCAGCCCACCCTTCAAACAAGCATCCCTGGAGCCCCATCCGCTACGTGGCCTGGACTTCTGCCCCACCAATTGCCACGTCAACCTCATGGAAGTGTCCTACCCCAAGACCACCCCCTCGGTTGGCAGGTCCTTCAGCATCCGCTTCGGCCGCAAACCCTCCCTCATTGGCCTTGACCCAGAGCAAGGTACCTACCTGCCTGTGTCTGTTAGAAAGTGTGTTCAGATCTTGCACCCCAGATGTTAGAACAGAAGACGTCTGAAGGTCGGCAGTCCAGGTTGCAGTGCAGCTCTGTGGTTATCAGGGAGCCAGGCTCCTCTGTCTTTCTGTGCCATCTTCTCTAGAGGTGGCTCCTGGTCTTCAGGATGCCTCATGGTAGAGTATGTCTGCTGGAGTTCCAGCCATCACATCTGCATTCAGACAGGAAAATATTCCAGTAGTTAAAAGCATATTAGCACCAGACTGAAACTTTTTTCTTGCAGTGACCTAATGGATTAGGAGTATTTAAAAGAGAAAATTTTCTTATTTGTTGGCATCTTTGAAATGGGTTTGTACTCCTCTGCCCAAAGGGCACGGGGATGTCTGGGGGCTGTTTCTGAGTCAGCTTTCCCTTCCTCCACCGTAGGCCACCTGAACCCCATGTCCTACACCCAGCACTGCATCACCACCATGGCTGCCCCATCCTGGAAGTGCTTACCTGCTGCAGAGGAAGACCCCCAAGGCCAGGGTCTCAATGACAGTGTCTTTGGGCCAGCCAGTGGGGCCCTAGGCCAGGAGGACCGGGGCCTGAGCTTCCTGCTCAAGCAGGAGGACCGGGAGATCCAAGATGCCTACCTGCAGCTCTTCACCAAACTGGATGTGGCCCTGAAGGAGATGAAGCAATACGTCACCCAGATCAACAGGCAAGCCCTGGCCCCGGGGGTCCCGGAGGAGGTTGGGGCAGGCGTTCTCCACCTTTGCTCTGTTGACATTGTAGGCGGGAGACTTCTTTGTGGTGGGGGCTGTCCTGTGCTTTATAGGCTATTTAGCAGCGTCTCTCCCCTCTACCCACCAGATGCCAGTAGCACCCCCACCCCCAATTGCTGTAACCAAAAATGTCTTCAGACATTGCCACACGCCCCCTGGGGGGCAAGATCATCCCTGACTGGGAAGCGCTGCTCTGATGGAGTCATGGACGTAGGCGCGATCTTCAGTGAGGCCTAAGCTATCTGCAACACTTCGTAATTTTAGCGTGGCAGAGACAGCCGGGCGCGATGTCCGCTGTGCGGTGATGCAGCCGGGCGCGCTCAGCACTGCCCCGAGTGCTCCTGCCAGCAGAAATGGAACCGGCATCTCCTGAAGGCCGGGGGTCTCGCCGCTCAGCCGTGGGATGTGGGGGGTAGAGGATGGTTAAATGGCACCTCAGAGATGCACTTGGCGAAGTCCAGAGGGTGGCGAGTCAACGCGACAGATGGCCCAGTTTGTTCAACCCGTGGATGACGGGGAGGAGGAGGCCTGGGGAGCAGGAGGGTCTGTCGGAGATTCAGGAGGCTCCAGAGACGCGTCAGCCGGGGCAGCGGCCGGCCCTGGTTAGCGGCCTCACGCCAGCTGTGCGGAGACGTTCTTGAGACAGAGCCGGGTGGTGGATGGTGTTCGGGAATGACTAACTTTGCCAGGCACGGTCAGAGCAGCGTGGTTATGTCTACGCAGGGCTTCCCACCTCGACACTGTCAACGGTTTGGGTCAGGGCGTTCTCTGTTGTGGGCTGTCCCGTGCGCTGCAGGACATTTGGCAGCTCCGGGGCCTCTGCCTACCAGAGGCCAGTGGCAACGTCCCCCTTCAGTTGTGACAAGTAACAGTGTCTCTGGACCACTTAGAAGGCACCAGACACTGTTCTGAGCACTTTACGTATTTTCACTGCCTTAATCTTCACAGAAGCTTAGGATGTAGCTACTGATGTTACCCCACTTTACAGGTGAGGAAACTGAGTCTCAGAGACTTTAAATAATTGGCTTTCGGTCTCTGAGCTAGGAAATGGCAGTATCAGGATTTGAATCTGGCGTCTGTCTGGCTTCAAAACCTTGCTCTTAACCATTGCTGTCTACAGCAGGGATTGACAAGCTGTGGCCCGTGGGCCAGATCTAGCCTAGTGCCGTGCACCTGCAGTCGCTGCGAGATTGTCGAGGAAGGGACACAGAGGGTCGGCCTGTGTCTCTGACTTCAAGGTCTTTGCTCCCTGCAGGCTGCTGTCCACCATCACGGAGCCAACCTCGGGGGGCTCTTGTGACCCGCCCTTGTCTGAGGAGGCCTCCTCCCCCCCACTGGTCAGTGACGAGAGTGAGCTGGACAGGACTGACCATGGGGGCATGAAGAAGGTGTGCTTCAAGGTGTCCGAGGAGGACCAGGAGGACTCGGGCCACGACACCATGAGCTACCGCGACTCCTACAGGTGGGTGCGGCCGTGCGCAGCCTGGAGTTGCTGCCATGGCCGGCGGGACAGCTGAGGCCACCGACCGTGGGAAAGTCAGAATGAGTGGGACGTTTCCCAGGATGCAGTGGGATCGGGGTGCTGTTGCTAACAGTGTGGCTCTAGGAGGTTATCTGAGCCCCCCAAGCACCTCCCAGAATGCCCCCTTGGGCTCCCCTGCCCCAAAGCTGACGTTTCGGGGCGTGCCACACGTCGACATCCTCCATTCTGCTTTGGTGTCACCGTGCACGTGACGGGATGCCGTCAAAGAAGAGGTTGAGACTCTGTGGCGTGTTTTAAAACTGAACGTGAGACGTGGTTTCTGCAGCAGACACTGTTTGTACATGGTCCGAGGAGGAAGAGCACATTTTTCCCTCCTAACTCTGAGAGGATCCGAGTCGTTTTTCTACTGGTTAAGTTAATTATAACAAGGTCAGTGAGATCCTATAATGATTAGTGAGTTGAATAGACTAAAACTCAATTTCCTGTGGTAAACCATATAGTAAGTAAATGTATGTTACTTATATGTTAATACATGTGACCATTGTAGTTACAGTAGAATCTTAGGGGGGCGCTTCAGTTGTTTGTGAGCAAAAAACAGAACTGATAAAATTTAGCAAGACAGACCTTCACCCCAGTCCTCCAGAGTTAATATTCTTTCAGTCTTAGGGGAGCGGACTGGCCCGCCGTCTCCAGCTCTCTCGGTGTCTGTGTACCAAGGCGTTCTGGCACCAGGGCTCGTCCGGAGTCCAAGATTTTGCCATCTCTTTGGGTTTTCATTCTTAGATTTTTCGGGTCCTCTGATTTTTCCTTTAATTGTCAAAAAGGTGAAGGAAAGAATTTCAGGGCCGGGCGCGGTGGCTCACGCCTGTAATCCTAGCACATTGGGAGGCCGAGGCGGGAGGATCACTTGAACTCAGAAGTTCAAGACCAGCCTGAGCAAAAGTGAGACCCTGTCTCTACTAAAAACAGAAAAATTAGCAGGGTTGTGGCATGCATCTATAATCCCAGTTACTCAGGAGGCTGAGGCGGGAGGTCGCTTGAGTCCAGGAGTTTGAGGTTGCTGTGAGCTAGGCTGAGGCCACTGCACTCTACCTGGGGTGACAGAGCAAGACTCTATCTTAAAAAAAAAAAAAAAAAGATGTGGTTTTTGAGTCCCTGTACCTTCTGAGTTCTCGAGACATAGCGAATCACGTGTAGTCTCCATCTTCGTGAGGTTTCCATGCTGGGGAGACTGCAGGCGGAGCCGTGCGGTCACACGTGGTGCGCCCAGAGCCAGGCTGTCCCCCACGAGGGGTGATGTGCTCGGGGAGGCACCGGGGACTCTGCCCAGAGTGACACCTGAATGAAAACGATTCACTGTCCTCCTGCCATTTCTGTGTTTCTGTGCTAGAGCCTAGGAATGTTTCCCCTCCCTGAGACGTGGAAAAGTCAGGCCAACCTTGCCTGGCTTTGGTGCTGGTAGTCGGCCCCTGGTACCCTGTCTGGGCTGAATGTCCACCTGAGGACCCAGGGGTTTTGTTTACACTCCAGAAAGTGGGTTCTCTGTGCTGGGAGGGTATGAGCCAAGGGTGACTTGGTCCTTTCTCTCGGCCCCTTTGCAGCGAGTGTAACAGCAATCGGGACTCGGTCCTGTCCTACACCAGCGTGAGAAGTAACAGCTCCTACCTGGGCAGCGACGAGATGGGGTCTGGTGAGTGGAGTGGCTTGTGTGTGGGGGGAGTGGCCCCTTGGCGAGGTTTTGTTTTATTTTTATCTTACTACACTTGACGTTACATTGTTTTGTATTCTATTGCATGGTATCATACTTTACTTCCCTCCGTCCACTCATTCAGCAGATATTTATTGAGCACCTATTATGCGCTGGGTGCTGGGAACACAGCAATGGCCAGAACAAAGCTCCCACCCCTCATGGGGCTGACGTTCTCTGCGAATGTTACGGAAATGGAAAAAAGAGAAGCACGCATGATGCAATTCTGTATGATCATGTATGATCACGTATGATGTGCGGTTGTGATGAGTGCTCTGATGTCACTAAACAGGATGACCTGATGGTTTCCGTAAAAAAGGACATATGCTCAAACCAAAAATCTAAACGACACAGAACAGTTCAAACGTAGTACATAAAAATAAATCAAAATCTCATCCCCTGGCCGGGTGCAGTGGCTCACGCCTGTAATCCTAGCTCTCTGGGAGGCCGAGGTGGGCGGATCGGTTGAGCTCAGGAGTTCGAGACCAGCCTGAGCAAGAGCGAGACCCCGTCTCTACTAAAAAGAGAAAGAAATTAGATGGACAACTAAAAATATATAGAAAAAATTAGCTGGGCATGGTGGCGCATGCCTGTAGTCCCAGCTACTCGGGAGGCTGAGGTGGGAGGATCGCTTGAGCCCAGGAGTTTGAGGTTGCTGTGAGCTAGGCTGATGCCACGGCACTCTACTCGGGGTGGTAGAGTGAGACTCTGTCTCAAAAAAAAAAAAAAAATCTCATCTCCCTCAGAAGTGACCGTGGCCAGTATTTGGAGGTGTCATCGATGAGATGGTCACATGGGTAGATGGTGGATGGCTGGACGGACAGACACAAACACCGTTTCATAAATTAGATCATACTCTACTTGCAACTTTTACTGAAAGCCTGAAATTTTTTAGTCTTGTTTATTACTTCAGACTTTAAAAAACTTCATTTTGAGCAGGTCGTGTGCCCACAGGCTTCATAATGAAAAGGCACGAGGGTGCACGGTGGGTGACAAGTCTCCCTCCCGCCCCGTGCTCCAGCCTCCTGGTTCTCAGGCTGTCAGCACTGTTCCCGCTGTCACTATCGTCTTGTGTGTCCTTCCAGAGGTAGTTCGTGCTTGAAAATTTAAGTTTAATTATGCTTGAATTTAACAGAAGAAAAAGAAACTTAAGTAAAATGGAAGATACTGAACTTCAGATAACTCTTTCATCACATAAGATATTCAGCCGCAGACACGGTCCTGGGGAGGTTCAGGGAAGGAGCTGACCTGTGCAGCAGCCGATTTCACTGAACCAGCTGGGCGGTGCACCGGGAGACTTGGGTCCAGGTCCTCTCTGCTTCCCAGTGTCCTCATTTGCAGAATGGACATAATGCCAGTGCCTTACGCCTTGTAATGCTTGAGGGCCTGTTGCCCATTTTGCAGATGAAGAAACTGAGGCTCAGAGAGGTCAGGTGATTTGCCTAGTGACTCACAACCAGGACCCACATCTTCGGACTCCAGATTCCCTGTGGGTTTAGAGCCCTGTAGCTGCGTTGCCTTCCTGGGACAGGTTAGGAGGTGGGGGTGGGGCAGGGATGGCTCATGGCCACGGCTTCTCTGTCCCGCCAGGGGATGAGCTGCCCTGTGACATGCGGATCCCGTCGGACAAGCAGGACAAGCTTCACGGCTGCCTGGAGCATCTCTTTAACCAGGTAGGACCTTTGCCCCACCCCTGTGTGACCTTTGGTTCCTTCTGTCACCCCTGGTGAGATCCCGTGACCCAGGGGCTGGAGCAGGGGCCGTGGGTCACAGGTCCCTGCAATCTGGAGCGCCACGAGGCCCACGCTGACTCAGAGCCTCTTGCTGCCCAGGTGGACTCCATCAACGCACTCCTCAAGGGGCCAGTGATGAGCAGAGCTTTCGAAGAGACCAAGCATTTCCCCATGGACCACAGCTTGCAAGGTGAGCGGGCACCCAGCTTCTAACAGGGAGACGGGAGACAGCCTGTGACAGGGAAAGGGCGCTGGACCAGGACAGGACGCCTGGCACGCTCGGCTCTGTCCCTCTCTTGCTGAATGGCTGCGGGCTCGTCCCCCTGGGCCACATCAGCCCACGTACAGACTCTGAGCTAAGAATTGTTTCGTGGTGGTGGTTTTTAAAGGGCTGTCAAAAGAAAACAAGCAAAAACATAAAGAAGAGTATGTGACAGAGACCACAGGCCCTGCAAAGTCCGAAATGGCTACCGTCTGACTCTTCACAGAGAAAGTCGGTGGACCCCTGGGCCGCCTCTGGACCCTTCCTGGCCTGGCTGTTGGTGGGGAAGGCCTGGGGCGCCAGACCTCAGACACCGAGCCCGTCCCCTTGAGCCGCATTTGCAGAGCTACTTGCTCCTTCACGGTCTAACCACGCTCGTTTGATGCCTGTTTTATTATTGACGTAACTTTTTTTTTAGAAAAAGTATCTCTCTTTTAAAAATTTAATTTTTGAAAAGACCTAATTAAACTCCGTATATATGGAAAGCCAGAATAACATAACACAAATTGATGATAAACCATGATGATAAATTCAATGGAAACAACAAAAAATGTCGTTAAACTGCGGTTACATGCCTGCCAAAGAAAGGCTCTCTGTGCTTTATTTAAGGAGGGATTTGTGAATTAAAGAAGTGCTAAGGGCTTTCCAGCACCATACTGAGACTTTCTTCTTGAAATGATTGAGAGAAAAAGAATTGAAATTTCTTGTGTCCTTCCGCCTGCCTTTCCTCCCATTTACCCACCGACCTATCTACCCACCTACCATCTGTCCGTCCATCCATCCATCCACCCACCCACCCACCCCCTCATCTATCCATCCACCCACCCACTTACCTGTCCACCCACTCATCTATCCTTCCATCCATCCACCCACTCACTCATCTGTCTACCCACCTATCCACCCACCTTCTCATCCATGCATCCAGTAAATAATTCCCGAGAACCAGCTTTTGGCAGGCCTTGTGCTGGGCACTGGGGACTCTGAGATGACTCTGACACTACCCTGACCTCAGGAGCTCTCAGGATATAGGAGATACAGGAATGCAAATGGGCAGTTGCCCCTAAGTAAGGGTAGGAAGTGGTAAGCAGCTGGGGCACCCCTAGCTGAGCTGCCCGTCCTGCTGTCTTAGGATCATCTCTCAGGGATGGACCTCAGAAAGCAGAAACGGCAAACCTGGAGGAATCAAAACCACAGCTCTCTCAGAAACTGGCACGTTGTAGCAGGGAAGAGGCCAAAGGAACAGGGGCCTGTTGTCTGCTTGGCTTTTGAATCATCCTGCTGGGGCCAGAGTCAAATCTGAGCTCTGTCATTACCCAGCTGTGAACTCTGGGCAAGTCACTTTCCCACTCTGTGCCGGGGCTTCCTCCTCTGCGTAGGGAAAGCGTTAGACTGGGTTACAACTCACGTGCCTGCTTGATTGGTTGTGGCTACGAGGAGGTAGTGCCTAGCATCCTTCTGTGGCTACAGCACCCAGGCTTAGGAGATGAGATTGCCGTGACTGATCCGTGCGGTCTGTGCTGGTTTGCGTGTAGCTGTGCGGAGTCCCAGCCTCAGACCGGCAGGAAGGAGTCCTGAGACTGATTACTGGTGTCTGCCATGGGCGTGGTACCGTGAAGTAGCAACACACTTACGGCGTGTTTGCCCTCCATGGACCAGATGACACCCAGGAGTCCTGCCAGCTCCCTTGACCTGGGATTATGAGCTTTGGAATCTGACGGGACAGAGGCCTTCGTGCCACCTTTCTCCAAAGCTGCCTCCATCCCTTCCCTGGCCCTCATGCCACTCTCCTGCCCCAGAGTTCAAACAGAAAGAAGAGTGTACGATCCGTGGCCGGAGCTTGATCCAGATCAGCATCCAGGAGGACCCCTGGAACCTCCCCAACTCCATCAAGACCCTGGTGGACAACATCCAGAGACACGTGGAAGGTCAGGGGCGGGAGGAGGTGTGGGGGTTTCGTGGCCTTGGGCTCTGCATGTGGAATGCGGAGGGATCAGGAATGGGTCCCGCTCTGCGCCCCATGTCTCTCCATGCCCAGGGAAGGGACAGGAAGAGCAGTCCCCTTCTCAGCTGAGCATCTGTCCTGCGCAGGGTTCGGGGGCTGTGTACACGCAGCAGGGAGCTGCCGAGTGCGGGCGCCATTCATGCTGAGGCTTCCTTGTGGGGCCAGGAGGCCGAAAAGGCAGACCTTGTTCTTTCTCAGCCTCCAAAACTGCAGGTTTCGTTCCGTTTCTGTATCATCGGCATCATGAGCCGGCCAGGCTACTGACCACATTTGGGCCCACAGATAGGTTTCGATGCTGCAGCATTAAAAAATGTGAATCTGCTGCTAGTGTTTACAGTGAGAGCTATCACATAAAAATCTAGATTTCTGGCTACTCTCAGCCACCCAGAAGATGTGGTGATACCAGGCCCACAGTCTCGTGTCCCTACTCCGCTGGTAATACGTGGCAGCTGCTCTTCAGATGGGGGCTTGCTTTCCAATTCACCGCAGTCCTCTGTGCTCCCATGGCTTGGAGTCTGCTCCCTGCATCTGACGTCACCTGCCTGGCCCTTGGCTGGCATCTGAGTCTGACACTCCTGGGTTAGAAGGATCCAGGCTGGGGGGACCTTTCACCAGGAGAGCGAGTGCAAGTACTCCGGCTGTTCCCCCAGGGGACAGCGGCCTCTGAGTTGCAAGTCTCTGCTGACCTGAGCTGGCCTGTTTTCCCCAACTGTGATTGGTTAAGAGTGTGATCACCAGGGCTTGAATCCAGCCCACCCACCTATTGGCTGTGTGACTTTGGCAAGTTCCTTGACTTCCCTGGGCCTTAGTTTATTCATGTGTAAAATGGGCTCACAGGGCTACCTCCCTCATCTGTTGTTGTGAGGATTAAATGAGTCAGTACAGATCGAGAACTTAGTTCACTGCTTGGGCACAGCGGGTCCTCAGCCCGGCGCACAGTGGGTCCTCAGTGATGCAGGCTCAGCGGCTGATGTCACCATCAGCACCACTCCCAGCCCTGAGTCTTACGTGTCTCTCTAGGGAAGAAGGTACCTTGAGAGGCTAAATTCAAAGGCCTTTCATATTTTTCTTTTAAGCCCTTCCTGGGCCAGAAGCATCTTTTTGAAGGAGAGAGATCAGGATATTAGGCCTTTCTCTGGAAGAAATGAGCTTTTTCTGCATGTGTAGGGCTGTGACCATCTAGAATGTGCATACATATATGAGGCTATGTATGAGTGTGTGTCTGCACGTGTGTGGTGTGCCTGCATGTGTGTGTGGGTGTCTGTGAATGCATGTGTACCTGTATGTGTGTATGCGAGTGTGTGCCCACATGTGTGTGTACAGGGCATAGAGCAGGGGCTGTGGTCCAGCGGTTAAAGGGCTGGTTTAGTCTCTGTCTGCCGTGTGTGTGTAAACAGATAATGCTAACCGCTGGGGTTCCGTTCCCTGGATGTACAGAGTTGTAGGAGTTCACCCAACATTCACTAAAAGCTTCTTGAGCACAACTTCCCTACTCAGGGCTTCGCCATGAAGGGGTCACAGCACCTGGGCTGGGGGCAGCTCTGCTCTCGCTTCTGCTAACTCGTCTCAGTCCATCCACCTGTCTTTGCCCCTTCTTCTTCCAGATGGGAAGAACCAGCTACTCCTGGCCTTGCTGAAATGCACAGGTGAGGGCTTTGAAGGCGTGTGTGGTGCACACCCAGGTGTGTCCAGGAGAGGCCATCCTGGCAGTGGGTGCTCCTGGCCACAGCCCGGAGGAGGCCTCTTCTGCCGGCCAAGGCTGACTGTCCCTGGTCTGTGAGGGCCTGGACTGGGGGAACAACACTTTGGCCTGTAGCCCCTCCAAGATCTACTTGAACCTTGCTTCTTCCTCTTGTGTCCAGTGGGTGGGTCCCAGGGCCCTGGAGCCAGGAGTCCTGTCTTTTGCCAGCTTCCAGGCTTGGGTGGATGCTGACAAGGACGGGGGATAAAGAGGCTCTTTGCCATTAGAGCCCTCAGCCCCGGCCTGGAGACATCCCACCCAGCAGGTGGGGAAGAGGAACGGGGGAAGGTGGGCTGGGGCGTCTTAGAGAACTTCTCTGTTCCCTCTTCTTTCTAGAAATTCTCAAGAGGGAGCTACAATAAGATCTAGGTCAAAATTGGTCACTAAAAGCCTGTTGGCCAGAAGCCAATTGTTGAAAATAATTCCTTCCGAAGATTGAGAGCCTGAAAGACCAATTGCCTGAAATTGGCCATTTCTGCAGACCATTTCTGCCCAAGGTCAAGGACCAGGGGCAAGGGAAGAGGTGGGGCAGGAGGAAAACTTAGTTCTAAAAAACAGACAGAGTGGTAAACTGCATTTCTTAAAACGTGGAGCTTGGCAGAAGAGCTTGGCATCATCACTGGCGTTCAACTGGCCAAGGCCAAGAAAGCCCGTAACACGTGGAGAAGCAGCTGAGGATACAGGGTTTTGGGAAAGGCTTAGGGAAAATCGCAAGTTGTTTTTCAGCAGGCAGAGGGGTCATTGAGAGAAGTGAGTTTTTTGGCAGATGGGCTTGCTTTAGGAGGATTGATTTTTGTGGAATTGACTTGCGGCAGCTGGGATTAATTTTTGGCCTCAAGTTAGCCCCTTGTAGGGGGCCCACGGGGAGTCCCGGGCCCAGGGTTTGGGGTGCGGGCGGCGGATGGCACGGGAGCACCCCCCAGTGAGGCCGCCTCTGCCCCCAGACACGGAGCTACAGCTGCGCAGGGACGCCATCTTCTGCCAGGCCCTGGTGGCCGCCGTGTGCACCTTCTCGGAGCAGCTGCTGGCGGCGCTCAGCTACCGCTACAACAACAACGGCGAGTACGAGGAGAGCAGCCGCGACGCCAGCCGCAAGTGGCTGGAGCAGGTGGCGGCCACGGGCGTCCTGCTGCACTGGCAGTCCCTGCTCTCGCCGGCCACTGTGGTGAGTGAGCCAGGGCGGGAGGGCTGGGGACCCCTGCTGCTGGCCCGCCCGCCGGTACTGCCCTGCAGGCTCGCCTGCCTTCGGTCCTGCCGTGGCTGTTTGTCAAGCACCTACTGTGTGCCGCTCTGTGGGCCCTGGGGGTCCGGCAGTGAACAGCCAGTCCCTGTGCTCAGGGATCTGGTACCCTAGCGGGAGGAGACAAGGCGAACCGACAAGCGAAATAAATAGTCCAGACTAGCGGTTCTCAACCAAGGGCAGTTTTTGTCCCCTAGGGGACACTCGGCAATGTCTGGAGTCAGTTTTGGTTGTGACAACTGAAGTGTGGGGGTAGAGGCCAGGGATGCTGCTCCGCATCCTACGTGGCCCCGCGTGTCCCTGGTGCCATTCGAGGCCACTCTGGAAGCCCCACCTGCGGGCTGCGGGCAAGTGTGGGCCTGGAGCGCCGCCTGCTGGCGGCGGCTGCACATGGCGGCTGCAGGGCGGGAGATCCGCTCTCACCTGGTTCCTGGAAGGCTCCACTTTCCTCTTAGATGAGGTGGGGGGGGGGGGCGGTGCTGGGGACTCACAGGAGGACCTGGCAGCCCCCAGTGCGATGTGTTGACTAGAGTTGAAGCCCAGCGTCTCGAAGTCAAACCTTAGGGCAGGGGTGGTACATGAGACTCCTCCACCCCGTCGTCTTCCTGCAGAAGGAGGAACGGACCATGCTGGAGGACATCTGGGTGACCCTGTCAGAGCTGGACAACGTCACCTTCTCCTTTAAGCAGCTGGACGAGAACTACGTGGCCAGTGAGTGGTTCTTCCCACTCCCACCATGGGAGTGGGGGTTCTAGGGTAACAGGGACGGCTCTGGGGTCAGCCTGTCCTTCCCCTGCCTCTAGGCCAACGGCCCAAGGTTGGCCCAGCACCCAGTGCTGTCAAACCTCATGCCCCCAACATGAGTGTCAGAGCTGAACTTTGGGCACACTTGGGGAAGAAGAGGCCCCGCTGTCTCTAATCGCTCTTAATAATGACAAGCAGTACCCGATTCCTGTTAAAATTCTACTCTGGAGATGTCCTCCTTCGGGAGGAAAACTTGTTAAGATTTTTTAAGGGCTTATAATTAATTAAGGCCCTTCCTTCTACCCGTCCTTCCACCTGCCCACCCTTTCATCCACGCACCCACCCACCCATCTTCTGTCTACACACCCGTAACTATGAGCGTGTGGTACGTGTCAGGCAGAGTTTTAGGTTCTGGGGCCGCAGTGGGGAGAAGTTCGGCCGTGGCCCCTGCCCTCCCGGAGCTCACAGTCCAGCCCGGTGGGCCTCAGCCCCGGTTGCTCACTGGAATCACGTGGGGAGCTTTTCAGAGCCCTGGTGCCCTGTGCCTAGTGATTCCGGTCAGTCGGTGGGGCGGCCTGGCACTGGGGCCTGAGGACAGCTCTCCAGGGGACTTGGGTGTGCAGCAGGGCTGAGCACCGGTGGGTTTTGTTCTAGAGCAGCGGTTTCCCGTGTGTGGCCCCTGCCCAGCAGTGCCTGGGCACTTGTTAGAGAGGAGAACTCCCGAGCTCCACCCAGGCCTGGGCGTCAGAAACCTGGAGTTGACAGGCCTTCCGGGTGAAGCACTGCAGTTTAAGAACCACTGCTCTGGATTTGTGTTTCTCGATCTTTTCCATTTCATAGAAAGGCTTTTCAGTCAAGTTTTTCCTAATTGCTGCGCCCCCGTGAAATTTTATTACTATATATCTGCTCACCTGTGTATCTGCTTCTACATTAAAGAATAAGTTTTGGCTGGGCGCAGTGGCTCACGCCTGTAATCCTAGCACTCTGGGAGGCCGAGGCGGGTGGATTGTTTGAGCTCAGGAGTTCGAGACCAGCCTGAGCAAGAGCGAGACCCCGTCTCTACCAAAAATAGAAAGAAATTAATTGGACAGCTAAAAATATATAGAAAAAATCAGCCGGGCATGGTGGCGCATGCCTGTAGTCCCAGCTACTTGGGAGGCTGAGACAATAGGATTGCTTGAGCCCAGGAGTCTGAGGTTGCTGTGAGCTAGGCTAATGCCATGCCAAGTGAGACTCTGTCTCAAAAAAAAAAAAAAAAGAATAAGTTTGTTTTTTCCCTCTCTCCCAAGAACCAATCTTTATCTCCTTGGGGGCAGTATCATCCTGCTGACAATGCATGGTGTGGTCTAGAAGGACGACGGGTTTCTTTTCCGGTACCAGTTTGAATTGACTGGCAGTGGCCGCTGCGTCTCGGCTGAGCTGGGCTCAGGCAGAGCTTTGATCAATGGGTGCCGCCTGCCGCCGTGCAGGCCGGGGGGGTTTGAGAGCCGTATTGCCACCCCCGCCCTAAGCTCTTCCCCGTGGGTGTGAGTGAGAGGCAGGCCTTGTCTGAGGGCAGCCTTTGCCAGGGAGGGGCCCTGGGCTACCGGGCGGGGCTGGGGGGAAGGAGCACTGGGGACGCTCCAGAGACAAGCGCTGTGGCCTCCCCAGCTGATCAGAGTTGGCGTCAGGTGCAAGAACTCGGCAGTGGAGACCAGGAGCTGTTGAAGTAGGAACAGGGGAGGCGTCCGAGTGTGGGAGGACAGGCTTGTCTGAGGCCACCCCTGGAGAGTGGGCGGGCAGGGAGGTCTGAGGCTAACCCTCTGGGGTGGGGAGAACAGGGAGGCCCCAGGATGCTGCTCTGGAGCAGGGGCAGGGGGTCCTGCCCGGCCTCAGTGGTGAGCCCCCCTGCCCCCTCTTGCCTTCCCACAGACACCAACATCTTCTACCACATTGAGGGCAGCCGGCAGGCGCTGAAGGTCATCTTCTACCTCGACAGCTACCACTTCTCCAAGCTGCCCTCCCGCCTGGAGGGCGGGGCCAGCCTGAGGCTGCACACGGTGCTCTTCACGAAAGGTGGGCTTTGGGCATCTGGGCGGGGCTGTGGGGGACGGGCCAAGGCCACCAAGCACACCAGGGCCCGACCACCTTCCCCCCTGCGTCTTCCTCACAGCCCTGGAGAACGTGGAGGGGCCCCCTCCTCCAGGCAGCCAGGCCGCGGAAGATTTGCAGCAGGAGATCAACGCGCAGTCCCTGGAGAAAGTGCAGCAGTATTACCGCAAACTCAGGTATCTGCCTGGGGTCCACGTGGCGGGTGGGAGTCGGGAAACCTCCACAGGACATGGGCGTTAGTGCGTAAGGTGCCAGACGGGTGCCCGGCGTGGGGAGTGAGCTACATGCCCTTTCTCTAGTGCCTGCTGTGTGGCAGGCCTTTTGCCTGTGTGAGGTTCTCACAGCAGTCTGCATGGTAGGCCATTCTAACCCACCTTACAGATGAGGAAGCCGAGGCCCGGAGAGCATACACAGTGTGGCCAAGGGTGCACAGCCAGGCAGTGGCTGAGCTTCAAAGCGGGTCCTTCCTGCGGAGGGAGCCGCCCGTTCCATTCTGCGTGGGGGTGGGAGCTGGCACGGGGCCCTGGGATTCTCGGGCCTGTGAGTGAGGGGTGTGGGCCTTGGCCGTGCTTAGGAGAGCGCCACCCCCAGAGAGAAGCAGAGAGGGCAGGGCCGGGCCTCCCTGGGAGGCAGCACAGGTCCAGGGAGAGAGCTGTAGGGTCTGCAGCTCCTGCTGCGGCCACCCTCACCCTTCCTGCCTTCTGCCTCACCACCTCCCCTGCGACAAGGGCAGGCTGAGAATCAGGAGCCGGGAGGTGAGGTGTGGGCGCGGCCTTCATCCTCCCAGGGCCGGATTCTGCCGTTTGGAAATAGGAGAATGATGCTTTCATTCATTTGCCAGAGAAAACATCCAGCCCAGTTATTTAAAAACTGACATCTGTTTGGATTGATCAATGCTATCCATCTCTTCTGTGCCATATGTAGAATATTTTAAGTGTTGTCTCTGTGATCATTCATTCAGCCCTTCATGCATTCAGCACATGTTTATTGAGACGTTCTGTGGACCAGGCCCTGCTCTTGGCACTTGCTGGGGACGCAGCAGAGAGCAGACAAAGTCCTGTTCTTCAGGGGGCGTGTATCCTAGAGCAGGGCTTGTCAACATCTGGCCCTCCCCTATTTTCTAAATAAAGTTTTATTCGCATGCAGCCACGTTTAGGTGTCATCTGTGGCTGCTTTTGTGCTATGTATGACAGCAGAGTTGAACAGTGTTGCCATAGAGACACTCCAGTTCACAAAGCCTGAAATATTTACCGTTTGGCCCTTTATGGGAAAAGTTTGCCGAGCCTATCCTGGAAGGGGAGGTGAACAATAAGCCAGTAAACACAGAGCACACAAAGTGCCAAGCGCTGAGAGGCGCTCAGAAGGGAACTGAGGCAGGATGACTGGGGGGAGGGGCTGGGCATGGAGGGGGCGCTGCTCTGGGTGGCAGTTAGGGACAGGGGGCATCTGAGGAGTGCCCGGGAGGCCCCTTCTTGCTTCCCCCACGGGGCTGTTGGAGGAGCAGGCTGCTGTGGGTGTGGACGGCCTGCAAGGCACTCTGAGGGATTTCTTTCCGAGAGTCCGAGGAGCAGAGCGGAGGCCGGAGGCCGCGGTGCAGGAGTATTACCCAGGCGAGGACCGGGAGGAGGGGAGGCGCAGGGCCCCAGCCTTAGCCCCTTCTTTCTCTCGCAGGGCGTTTTACCTGGAACGGTCTAACCTGCCCACGGATGCCAGCACCACGGCGGTGAAGATAGACCAGGTGTGCCCATGCTGCCCTCTCTCCAGCCCAGGAAGCTTGGGCAGGGTGGGGGCTCTCGGGTCAGGACTCGGCCAACAGCCCCAGCCAGAATCCTGGCCTAGAAGCTTCTGAGGCCCCTGCAGTCCCTCCTCCAGGAAGTCTCCCGGGATAGCTCCCTCCCCTTCTCAGAATTCCAGGACGATTTCTTTTCAACGGCACCTGCTCACCTGTGCCGCTTCCACCCCCTTGTTCTCTGAGGCTGGAGCCCACACAGGGCAAAGTAGTGGACCTGGTGCCAGATGTGGCCCGTGCAGTGTTCTTTTTCTTTGTTTTGAATTTGAAAAGTCAAAAGATTTCCCATAAAAATGGAGGCTTCCAGCTTTTCCTGAGGAATGGAGAGCGCTGGCTGTCGGGGTCCCAGTGTCCGCGTGGGCCTGAGCTGGGAGCAGCTGCCCTTCGGGGCCCCCCGCCGGCTTGTCTGTGGCTCGAGCCCCCTGCGCCACACCCAGATGCAGCTCTCTCGGCTCCCGGTTCGCCGGGCTCAGGCAGGCCTGAGTCTGATGATGGTTTTGGGGTGCCGGCCTCGGGGCTGGGGGCTCTGGGAGAAATGGTGGGCACAGCGCCTTGGGAGTTTTCAGACTGGCTGGCAGAATATCACCATGGCACAGAAAGTTAGTCACCTGCCATTTGTACCTCCACATGGGTGGACGAGGAAAACTGCGGGCAGAGGAAGGCTCTTCTTGGGGAGGGGCCGCTTGAGCTGGTCATGATGGGTCTGAGAGGACAGGAGAGGATACTTTGTTCAGGCTTAGCTGGGGACACACTGGGCAGGGGAAAAGAATTAGGTTGGAAGGCTAGACCTGAAATACATAGTGAACACTGAATGCTGACTTATAGGGCAGTAGGGAGCCACAGATGGTTCTCGAGCAGGGTTTGGAGAAGGCTGGATTGGACTGTAAACCCAGGGAGGTGAGCTGGGAGGCAGCTGCAATAAGAGAGCTGGATTAGCAGGAGGTGATGGGGGAGGAAGGCCGGAAGGGGGCTATGGGGTGCCCCCGACCCTCCAGTGTGTGTTGTAACCTTGCAGCTGATACGCCCCATCAACGCCCTGGACGAACTCTGCCGCCTCATGAAGTCCTTCGTCCACCCCAAGCCTGGGGCTGCGGGGAGCTTGGGCGCCGGCCTCATCCCCATCTCCTCGGAGCTCTGCTACCGCCTGGGGGCGTGCCAGATCGCCATGTGCGGCACAGGCATGCAGAGGTGAGCAGTCTGAGCGCCGAGCCAAGGGCATGGGGTGGTTTGGGGCGCCCAGAGCAAGGAGGCGGGATGGCTGGGTTCGAATCCTGGTTCTGCCACTGCTTATGGAGCCCAGACAAGGCCTTGGCTCTCCCTGGACCTCAGTTTGTCTGTCTGTGGAATGGGACGGCAGTAGCAGGTGGCCCAGGAGGGCTGCGGAGCTGTCTGCTTCCCTGAGTGTGCTGTTAGTGTGAATGGCAGAGCTGCGTGGGGGGTTCTGCTGGAACCTTCGTTCAACGTGAACAGTAACAATTGCTTGCCTCGATGAGGCAGAACTGGCCTCTGGGCCTCACTGAACACACTCCTACCTGTGTCCTTCGCCCCCACTGCTTGTCCAGGGAGGAATACGTCACCTCTGTGAGGCCGTCCCTGACCTCCCTAGTTGAACCTGCACCTCTGCCCACCTGCACCCTCCCCACTCTCCTTCCTTGCAGCCCTCGCCACCCACACAATGGCCTATATTTGGGGGTTCGTTTCTTCTCTGCCCTGCCCAGTGCAGGGCCAGTTCTGGGAGGGCAGGGACCTGGCCTGCCCTCTGCTGTGTCCCGCACCTAGCGCAGGGCCTGGGGCAGGGCAGGCGCTCGAGAAACGTTTGTTGAGTAAACATCTCACCAGCGCGGTGCTCACTGTGCCCAGGTTCCTTCGCTGTTGTCCCATGCGGATTAACTCTGTCCCCTCTTCGGCGAGCAGGTGCGGTCTGGCCTATTTCAGAGGTCCTCAGCCAGGGGTGATTTTGTTCCCTGAGGGACATTTGGCAATGTCTGGAGACATTTTTGCTTGTCACAACCAGCAGGGGGGAGGTGCTACTGCTGCCGTCCTACGGTGCGCTGGGCGGCCCTGTCTGGCCCACGGTGTCAACCGTGCACTGTTGTGGTCCCTGTTTTATAGTTAGGGAAACTGAGATGAACGCATCTTTCCGGGGTCACAGAGTAATTACGTGGAAGGAGGGGATTTGAATCCAGGAGGTCTGGCTACAGAGCCGTGTTCTAGAACTGTTCAGGGACCAAAGTGAGGGATGAACCCAGGCGTCCGTCGTGTCCAGCTCAGACCCTGCTGCCGAGTTGTGAGGCATCCGGGCCGTGTCCCCGATCACTCGCGCAGCAAATGTGTCCTGGGTCCTCCTCTGAACGAGGCCCTGGGAATGTCACAGAGAACTCAGCAAAGTCCCTGCTGGTGGCGCTGTGTGTGACAGGGGTCAGACGGGGGCAGGGAACCGCCTGGGAGTGAGGAGTGGTGGCTTCCTGGAGGAGGGGGAGGAGGAAGAAAGGGAGGAGGGAGGAAGAGGAGGAGGGGTGGGGGAGGGGAGCGGAGAGCAAGGAGGGGAGCGGGGTGGGCTGAGGGAGCAGGTCCAGCAGCCATCTGGGGAGGCCATTATGATGGGATGGGGTCCCGGAGGCCGTGGAGGGGCAGGAAGTTGCCCCCACCATGTCGCACCCACTCTCTGGCCCTGTCGCAGGAGCACCCTGAGCGTCTCCCTGGAGCAGGCGGCCGTCTTGGCGCGGAGCCACGGGCTGCTGCCCAAGTGCATCATGCAGGCCACGGACATCATGCGCAAGCAGGTGAGGCGGCCAAGGGGACCGTGGCTCTCAGCCCCAGACCTGGACCTTCTCCCAGTCTGGAGGGGACCCTGGATTTCAGCTTCTGGGGCTTCCCGTTTACGCACCCCACTTCCCCGCATCGTGTTCCTCCCGTGCCCCGGCCGCCTTGCAGGGGTCCCAGGCCTGATGGCTCCTTCTTTCCAGGGCCCCAGGGTGGAGATTCTGGCCAAAAACCTGCGAGTCAAGGATCAGATGCCGCAGGGCGCACCGCGGTGAGTGGCTGCCCTGTCCGTCGTCCCTCCCCTCCCAGAAGGCCAGGACCAGAGCTCGTGTTTGGCATGAAACTCCCGGCCGTACTCCGGGCAGACCCCCTGGTGCTCAGATGGGACTTCCCCTCTCATTGATGGGGACCCCACTCTGGGGAACGACAAATATAACTCCATCCGTCACCTCCCAAAGGAGCTCCCACCCGGCTGGGAAGATGAGGCGAGGTCCCCAAGTGCGCCATGCGGGGGTGGCTCCGTTTGCCCCTCCACTTGCCCCCCAGCCTGTGCCCTCCGAGCCCTGAGCCCTGAGCGGCAACCTTTAACCTTAGGCAAAATGAAGAACGCCGTGATTTTAACTGATCAGCCTCAGCTGACCTTTTAGCCGTTAATACAAATGCCGGAGAGAAGCGCGGCCCCGCCTGGGATGAGGGGTCTGCGGGAACATCTCCATCTCAGTCTTCAGAGTGCAGAGTCCGTTCCCCCAACTTCCTGCCCCCCCATCCCCGAGTTGTTTTAAATCCTCCTTTCGGTGCCACCTGCAGCCCCTTCAGGAACTTTAACTCGTTCTAGTCTGTCTCCTCTCTCCCTCCCCACTGCCCTAGTTTGCCACCAACATCTCCCACAGGGTTTAAATAACTTTTTATTTTGAAATAATTTGACTCACATGAAATTGTAAAAATGGTACAGAGAGTCCCCCTGTACCTTCAGGCAGCTTCCCCAGGGATAGTGTCACGCGTGATCACAGCACGTTGTCAAGACCAGGGCGTCGCCCTGGGTGCGACGCTGGGGCCCGCGCAGACTCCTGTGTATCTCGCCAGCGGAGCACGCGGCTCTCCTGCGTACCGTCATGGCGTTTACACTGCTCCGGATGCTGTTCCAGTTTCCCCCTTGGCGCACTCATTTAATCCAAATAACCACCCTGTGAGCAGGTGGGGACACTGAGGCACAGAGAGGTTAGGTATCTTGTCCAAGGTCACACAGCTAGTAAACAGCAGAGCTGGGATCCTGAACCCAGGCAGTCTAGGCCTGGAGGCCAAACTCTAACCACAGTGCCGCGTTGTGCTTCTGCTTGCCCCTGTCACCAGGGCAGCCTCCTGTTTGTTCCCCCTGCCTCCAAACTGTCACTCTCCCCACGGCCGACCCGACTGCTTCTCCTGCTTGAAACCCAGCGGTGGCCCCACCTTGCTCGGAGATAAAGCCCAGTGTCGTCCCGGCGCAGCCTCCGGGTGCTGCACGCAGAGGCCCCCAGGATAGATGCAGTGAACAAACGTGAGGGGCAGAGCGCGGTGTCTAGCTGGCCACTGCTAGTGTGGAAGAGTGCACCCGCCCGCACACACCTGCACACACGCGTGTGCACGCGCAGACACGTCCTCATTTGTAAACACCTCGCCAGTCTCGGGAGGGCAGAGGCTGGCGTAGGGAGGGACGTGGGCAGCATAAATATTTTTTACTCTGCATCGTTTTATCCCTATTGAGCTTTGTTTTCTGGGCATGGGTTACGTGTCCACGTAGAAATGGAAATGATAACACTAGTAGGCCGCGGCCTGCCCAGGCCACCGCTCACGCGCTTTGCCTCTGCCCACCAGCCTCTACCGCCTCTGCCAGCCGCCGGTGGACGGAGACCTCTGAACACCCAGATGCCGCATGCTGGGCTGTGTCCTCTGGAGCTGGGATTTGGGAGGACACGGGACAGCGCCGGCCTTCCCAGAGATGGCCCGAGGCGTCTGCTGCCACCTGCTCCGGGATCTGCCCAGATTCCGCCACTGCCTCCCTCGAGGGCAAGCCTGGGCTCCCACTCTTCGATCAGCCCTGGACTGCCACATGCTCCACCTTCTGCCAGAAGCCGGAGGGGTGCTGGAGACCCACAGGGCTGATGGGGCCGCGAGGGCCTGGGCTCCTGCCTCCAAGTCCCCAGGACACGGGACAGTGATGGGGTACCACAGCTGGAAGCTCACAGACCCAGCTCCGTCGGGACGGCCCAACCTGCACTTTTGAAACCCCTGGTTTCCTCCTAATCCACATTCCGGGAGACCACACGTGTCTCCTCCTGCCCGTAGCTTCCAGATTCAGCCCTAACCCGTACTAACCTGCCTGGTGGACCCGGAAGAGCCGGTGCTCTGCCAGGGAAGATGGAGACGGGCCCCACACCTGCTGCCGAGAGGACCCTTGAAAGCCACACCAGCTCCTCACATCGCGGCCACTGGACCTTGAGCCGTCAGCCCTGGGCATGAGATTTGCTCCGACTTTTATTTATGTGGCGTGAAATCTCTGGTTTATTTGGGGATTTTTTGTTGTTGGTGTCGTCGATATTTTTTTTTCTAAAGTGTGATTATATATTTGACATTTTAAATTTCGAAGAAAGGTATATTGTCTAACAGGGACCAACATATGGTAGCATTGACGACTTTTCCCAGTTCTACTAAAAAAAAAAAAAAAAAACTAAATTATTGAAAATTTTAAAAATGTCAGTATTTCTTCTTTTTTAATAGTAGGGTCGTAAGGTGTTACAGGCCTCGGCTGTGATTCCTGTTCCCGCCCGCCCGTGGTTCTCCAGCAGTTGGTCAGTGTTAGAACTTTGTTTTCTGACTGGCTGCAGGGGTCTGAGAGGTGGCCAGGGTAGGGGGCTGGAGGGGGTTGAAGCACACCAGAGGTGCTGTCTCACACAGGTGGAAGGGCCGCTGGGACACACTGGTGGTGGCTTCTGTTATTTATTTTCTTGATGTTAGCTTCTCAGAGCAGGGCATTTGGGACTTCTCGGCCAGCCAGAGAGCAGGAAGCCACCCTGCCCACCTTGTGGGTGGAAGGACCTACACAGGGACCCCTCAGCTTCTGTAGGGCTGCAGGGAAATGTCCTCAGTGAGGAAGAAGGGAGGGGACGTTTCGTCTGGTGGGTGAGACTGGGTGTGGGGTTCCTGCTGCCCTGAGGCCAAGGGGCTTGAAGCCCCACCAGCATCTTGGCCCCCTCTGCCCCCAGGGGCCACCTTCCCTCTCTTGCCGCTGCGTACAGCAGAGTAAGCGGTGGGCTCGACACTGTATCTTGTGGCAGATACAAACGGGGACCCGCTTTAGCCTGTCGTGGGAAACGGGGAAGGGCCCCTAGGGCCAGGGCACCGTGCACTGGTTTACTTTAAAATGTACAGCGTCTTCTGATTAAATTCATGATAGATTTTTTTATTATTATTAAAAGTCAGTTTATAATACAAAGAACAAGGCTGCAATCTGCTTGATCTGCGGTGGGTGGGGTGGGAGGAACTCATGCTTTGGAAGCTTCTGGGAGTGCAGTTCTGGTCTCTGCCGTCAGGGTCCTTGGACCAGCGACCCCTAAGCCGCTGATGTTAGCACTCTGTGCCTCAGTTTCCCCATCGATAAAGGGGACAGTACAGCTTCCCTGACAGGGATTGGTGAGAACCACCTGATACCACGTGGCCGGTTTGGGACTCAGGTGTACCAGCAAGATAACGGGCTTTGTGTCGCAGTTCAACTTGATTTTGGATTCTGAGGTCCCCTTTCATCACGATGGTGGGAAACGTGACTGGTTTTTCCAGGAATTCTCTGCTCCCTCTTTGGTGTCTTACATGTGCCAAAGGGTCAGGGTAGGACCAAGGGACACCACCCCGTCATCCTACGCGACAACCTGCAAGGCCCATGGAGTCTGGGCAGGAATGAAATTCAAAATACCCCAAGTGGGATTGGTCTTGGTTACTGGCCAATGAGAACACAAGCTGGCCGTATATGGACCAATCAGCACAGACGCTAAATGGACCAATCAGAACCGACAGTCTATGTCCTCACCTGTTGGCTGGGTCCCCGGCTGTCAGCTGTCTGGGCTGGGGTGATCTTTGTGAAGCCACCTGGGTCTATCTGCCCAGCCAAAGACATCTCATGCCCTGGCTGCAAACCTGAGCTGCTGTGTCTGCCCTGCGCCTCCCTCCCTCTCCCCACTTCCCTCTCCTGCCTTCCTTTCCCCTTCATTTCTCACACTTTGGAAGACTCTGAAATCCATGGAAGTTGCCTTTGGGGTGGCCTCCTATTGGTCATAGCCACGTTGGGGCTCCCCTGAGCCATGACGCCCCACCCAGCCCTGCCATTTCACACCGAGCCCCTTCTCCTTTGGTCTCTGTTCCTTCCAGAGTGACCTGCCCCAGATCCCGTTCTCTGAATCCCCGACTGGATCCCTCCCAGCAAGGCATCCTGGTGTCTTTCCATTATAGGTTTCAAAAGATTCAACACAGTAACAGGCAAGAGTGAGTCCTGCTGGGATTTCAGGCACAGTGATGGATTGATTATTTAGAATTATCCGAGGCCAGTGTTTGGATCCAAGGAACATGACTCTCAGGGAAGAGCTGTTAACTCAATCTATATTTGGCGTCAACAGAGGGGATTTGATATCTTCCTTCAGGCAGACACTTTTATAGGAAGCATCAGTCTCGGCCTGTTTTCCACCCTGGGGCCAGCAAAGGGAAAGCGAGCTCTCCTGTAGTGGTCCGGGGCAGCTGTGGTTTAGAGCTGAGAGGTGGGCTCTCTGTGGCCTCGAGCAAGTCACTCCCCTTCTCAGGCTCAGAACTGCACCTGCGAAGTGGGAGGGAGCCGGGGCCCAGTTCTCTCAGCGACGTGTTTCTCACAGTACGAGACTCAGCACGAACAGCTGCTCAGAGCAAGGGCACATTTTTGTGTGAGACAAGACATCTCAGACTGATGGCCCGGGGCTGAAACTTGGAAATAGATGTGACTTCCCCCTCTTTCCTGATACAGTGTTTTTTTTTAGAAAATAATTTTGATTTACAAACCAGCACATTTCACCTCTGAATTCTGATTTTTCGTTTGTCGTGAAAATCAGAAGCTCTGGTCACACTGACCCACGTCCCTACCTGGCCACGCGCCAGCCGGAGCTGAGGAGCAGCTGCCACCTCCAGGCAGGACAGGACAGCTCTCCAGCGCCCACAGCCCACGCGGGCCAGGCCCGCTCGCTCTTGACATGCAGGCCCTCAGCTCTGGAGTTGCCACGGCGTGTCAGCTGAGTTAGGACCTGGTGACCAGGAGTTGCTGTGCCGGCCAGTGGAGAATCAAGGGACAGGCGTGGCCCTGCAGTGGGTGAGTCTCTCAGAGCCTCTGCTCCTGCAGGACGAGGGCAGGGAGTCGGGCACCTGAATTCCTCTGAGCTTCAGTTTCTTCAGCTGTCAGGTGGAGCTGAGATGTGGTCCCTCGGGGTGGATTGTCAGGGGCTACTCAGGAAGCCAGTGGTGGGATGGGGTGTGTTGGTCACTCTATGAGTATATCTAAATTTAACTGTTCATGTATTTACTATCCTCCTTCCCCACCAGTAAGAGCACCTTGAGAGCAGGAACCGTGTCCACCTGTCTGCGGTGTGCCCAGCGTCCAGCCTAGTGCCGGGCATTAGTGAATCACAGCGAAGGACCACAACTCTCAGAGCCAGGAACACAAGCCACATCTACCCGTGGCCAAAGCTGGCCCCTCTGACCACTGTGCGCCGCTGCCTGTGCTTGTTCTTGCAGGCTGGGCTAAGACCTTTGAAGTCAGACACCCTCGCCTGCCCCGGATCTGGCAACCTCTGTACTCACCGTGTGACCGTTTCTCAGGGCGTCTGTTCCCTCCTTCCCCTTCTCCAGGCTTCATGGCCAGGGTACCGGGAATCTCTTCCAGGGCCCCACGATTTAACTTGCAAGGGGAAAGTGCGGGGCCCTGTCTGGACAGCAGGTGGCGCCAGGGACCGCGCAGTGCCTGGGGTGGTGGTTCCCTGGGCTCTGGTCCCACCGGGTCCTGCCCACCCCGCTCCAGACCCCAGGGCTGGCTCCCGGTGCCCACATTCGGGACAGAGCCAGCCCGCAGGCAGGGGCTGGGCTGTGTGGACAATCGACACCAGCCCCTACCCGCCTCCTGGACTGGGCCGGACTCGCTGTGAACATTTTCTCTCTTTCTCTATTTTTCCATTTTTCTTTCTCTCTTCCCTGATTATTTTTGTCTCTTTCCCCTCCTCTTTTTTTCTTAGCTTTTCTATATTTTTCTTTGTCCCACGACATATGTCTGTCAGCTTGATTCTATTTTTCAATTCTTTCCTTTTCTGTTTTGGGCTTTTCCTTCCCTCCTTTCTCTTACTTCCTTCTCCCATCTTCCTGATCTGTGAGCAGGATGTGAAAGACACTTGCAAACTGTAAGTGAGGTGCTCACAAAGGTTGTGCCTGGAAATCGCAGCTGCTGGTGCCAGGAGCCACGACCGTGTGCAAGCGACGGCCACCAGGCGGCGCTGTGAGCCCGGCCGTCCCCGCGAGCCTGAGGCCGCCGGCCCAATGCTCCTGGGAGGCTTCCGTGTTGGGCTCGGGCTCAGCAGGAAGGGGGGTCAGGACACCCATCCCCAAGCGGGTGTCTCTGGGCATAGGAACGTCCCCTGCAGGGTCTGAGTGGGGTGGAGGAGGGGTGGTCGGGAGAGGGCTGCAGAGCCGAAGTTAGAGTCTCCTGACGTGCTCTGTGACCTTGGGTAGGTTCCTTGCCGCTCTCCACACCTTTGATGAGAGCCCGTACGACCTGATTCCTCGAAAGAGACTTCCCGTCCTCTGGCCAGCCTGGCCCTCTCCCTGACTGTTTTGAAGGACCCATAGTGACATCCAGAATTACTCACCGAGCACTTTGCTGGGTGGCTCAAAGACATCATCTCACATAATCCTCTTACCAGCCCGTCCAGGTAGGGGATCTAGGCCTCTCTTCCCAGAGGAGGACATGGGCTCAGAGCGTTGAAGTGACTTACCAAGGTCACACAGCTGGCAAGTTGAGCAGCTCAGAAATACCAGCCTCGGATGCAGTTCCAGGTCTGTGGTAGCAACGTGACATTTGGCCAGTGGGAAACACAGTGGCCAAGCATGATGTGGGCCCCCTGCCCAGGTGCATCATGGGAGAATCTGGCTCTGGTCCTAGAACCTGGGAGGAAGGGGGTGGGAGGGGGGAAGGATGGCAGAAAGGACCACAGGCCACCAGTGGTGCCTTGCTGCCTTCCTGCCGTGACTGCTTCCTCAGGACCCTCGTACATGCTGTTCCCATGGCCTGGAACACTCTTCCCCCAGATGGCTTCATGCTTTGTTCCCTCATTTTACTCAGGTCTGCTCAGCTGTCACCTCGTCACCATCCATTCCTGTTGCCCTCTCTCCTCTTGTCCTATTTTACTTTCCTTTATGGCATCTCCCACCACCTGGCAGGGCCTGTCCTTTGCTTGTTTATTTATTGTCTCTTTCCTGCACTGCTAGTTACACTCCACAGGGTGTTTCGTCCATCTCAGTTACTAGTGACCTCCTGATCACCAGAATGTCGTGGGAAGGGCCTTGTAATGACAGAGCAGTGTCCTGGGCCCTCAGTCTCCCCTGGACATGGAGGATAAAAGGGGGGGGGCCGGGGCAGGGGACAGTGACCTCAGGGCAAGAGCCACCCTGGTTCTGAGCTGCCCCATCATGTGTCTGGAATGACATGCCTGTCATCAAGG